CGTATTTTCCTTGGTCCCTTTTGGTCTGTTACATTTATCACTGAAACAATTTTGTTATACACTCACCAGCCACATGCTTGTACCGGGTTGGACCCCCTTTTGCCTTCAGAACTGCCTTATTTCTTCATGGCATAGATTCAACAAGGTGTTGGAAACATTCCTTAAAGACTTTGGTCCATATTGACATGCATTACTGTTGCCTTTCTATCATCTCAGACTGGTCTGCCCATTCTCCTCGACATCAGCAAGGCATTTTTGGTCCACACAACAGCCATGCTCACTGGATATATTTTTTCTTTTTTTCGGACCATTCTCTGTAAACCCTAGAGATGGTTGAGCATGAAAATCCAAGTAGATCAGCAGATTTTTGAAATATACTGAGACCAGCCCAGCCTGGCATCAACAACCATGCTATATTCAAAGTATCACTTTAATTCCACATTCTTCCCACATTCTGATGCTTGGTTTGAACTTCAGCACATTGTCTTACACCACATCTAGATGCCTAAATGCATTGAGTTGCTGAGTTGCTGCCATGTGATTGGCTGATTAGCCATTACACTGTTCCATGCAATTGAACAGGGTCTACTCCTAATAAAGGGGCCGGTGAGTGCATTTTGTTTGCTAAGTAGAAGAATGAAAATACCTGATGCTCTTGCCAGAAAACTGATGACTCCCTGTGCACTCTCTGTGCTGAACTTTCATAGTTACATTGTTTCTCATTATCCTCTAAGGACTGTAATGGAGAAGAGGGGAGCTGGAAGTTTATGTAGTCCTGTGAGTTTTGTCCCCCCAAGACAGAAAGTGTATTATTTTCAAATCACCAAGGGGAAACAAACCCCCCCCCCCAAAAAAAGAAAATTAAATTCTCAACACCACATCTAAGAACTGATAAACTTCAACATAATTAAGTTTTTTGGGGGGGTTAGAAAGGCAATTTTACACTGGACAGAGCCGTACAGAGGGATGTTGAGGGAGTAGGAGTCATTACTCTAACTTCAAAGTTTGGCCAGTCCTGCTGACCCATCTGAATTTCGTTCCATCTATAGCCAGCTTAAAGTGGTACATACTGCTGAACTCCCCCCCCCATGTTTTTTTCTGCACTTTCCTGTATTGCTGTGTTTTCTTCAAAGCACATACTCACCTGCCCTGTGAATCCAGCATTTTCCCGCTGCAATCCACACTTTCGGGTGTCACACAGCAGGTCCTGCTCCACCATTCTTGGTCCTCTTCAGCTGGCTACTTCCTCAGGTTTAGGCAGCCAGCTTGGATGATGCACCGCATCTGCTCCCCGCCACTTTGTAAGCCAGTCCTCCTGGAAGAGGGGTGTAAGCAGGGGCAGATTGACAACTCATGGGGCCCCCGGGCAATAGGGGATCATGGGGGCCCCTGTGTCCTTGCCCAAACTCAAAAAAACAGCCTATGAAAAGGTACCAGGGGCATCTCATGGGGCCCCCTACTGACCCCAGGGATCATGGGGCCCCTGTGTCCTTGCCCCAACTCAAAAAATGCCTATGAAAAGGTACCAGGGGCATCTCATGGGGCCCCCTACTGACCCCAGGGGATAATGGGACCCTTGTGTCCTTGCCCCAAACTCAAAAAAGCCTATGAAAAAGATACCAGGGGCATCTTATGGGGCCCCCTACTGACCCCGGGCCCTCGGGCTGTGCCCAAGTTTTCAAATGGTCAGTCCGCCCCTGGGTGTAAGTATCCCAGGAGGCTTCAGGTCCAGGAACACGTCATTCTGGCCTAGCTCAGAATGGTGGAGGGGCGGAAGGGGGGGGGGGACGGGCTAACAATTCTTCTAGCAGAAGGGGGGTAGTGTTAAAACAGAACTAACTTCCTTTTGGGAGTTTATTTCTACTTTAAGGAGATACAGAAAATGAGTGGAAAGGAACCCAAAGCTTTGCTGGCTGGAGAATACAAAATTTTATTATGCAATATTTCATAAAATATAGTCCTGACCATGATAAAAAAAAAAACATGCAAAACCGTTACCCATTTCCTTTAATTACTCTAAAGATCTCAGTATTGAGTTGAACATGTTTAGAACTATATCGGTGTATAAAAGCAATTTCCAGTAAGTAAAAAAAAAAGAAAAAAACATGCTGTTTTCTGAAAAAGGCATCTTAACTCGAATATACTTTTGCAGGCAGGAAGTCTTAAATGTAGTCAATGTAGCGTAATATGTCCCAGCAGGAAAGCGTTCTCGAAACCTTCGAAGCAAAGGTGACCCAGGCAGCAAGCACCTCCGCTGTGATCACACAACTTTCCATTACCCAGTGCTGCGATAAATGCTGGGATCCCGAGTGGTTTAAGTACTTTATAATTCATGAAGAAAATCAAAGCAGTAAAATTAATACTAATGCTCAAATGTGACAACAATGTCAATTAATAACGCCAAAGGAGAAGGCAGGGAATGAGCATTATACCCCTGCTTCATTTATAATAGTAGTAAGCACTGCATCCACATTTACATACACACATGGATTATGGTGCTATTTACACTCCAAAACTGAGGCTTAAAGTGGACCTTTTACCAGTGTTCCAATTCAGCAAGTAAGTTCAGTAAGTCAATTCCTGAAATGTCACAATCTACAGCAATGGTATACATTTTCCAAATAGCTCATCTATACCTTTTACCATTAAAAGGGAGTCTTTGAACTCCAGACCAGTCTTTCTCAACCAAGGTGCCCGAGCACCCTTGTGTGCCTTCAGGCTTCTACAGGCCTTGGCAAAATCCCAAAAATTGTATACAAGCCAGCAGGTGGATCAATCCTGCCTTTTAGGGCCCATGTACAACGGGGTGTTCGGAAAACTCTTCTGAACAAAGGAACTGACTGCTGGAAAACATAGGTTAAAAAACATCAGTTTAGCCACGTTTGCATACTGCGTTTATGTGCGTTTGCGTTTAGAAGCATTTTTAAAAGATAACCCCGGGAGACCTTCCCAAATGCCCAGAATGCACTGAAAATTAGTAAAAAATTACCTATTCCAGACATTTTGAGAGGAATAGAGAGAGCAGAAGCAGAGAGAGCAGTATGTGTTGAGATGACCTGTTTTTTCTGGTTGTATTCACTATGGATCCCATCATGAGCATAATGCGGCACGTTCTACCATTTTTTCCTTCACGCAAAATCTGGAACTGACTGTGCTGGTGTACCGGGTCCATTTGAATACATGAAAAATGCTTTGCATGCATTTCTGATGATGAAAAAGGACAGCATCTGGACATGGAACAGTTAAAAAAACACTTATAAACACAAATGATTATAAACGCGGTTCACCGCGTTTACAAGCATTTGGCGTTTGAAACATTGGTAAAATCTATTCCTGAATGTAAGTTTGGTGCTTTCAAAAAAATGACTGTAAACTCAACTGCCTGTAGACGACTGTAAACGACATAGTGTACATGGACACATAGGAAAACATTAGGGAGAGTTCAGGGGCTGCTGAAAAAAAAGCTGTACAGCTCCTGAACGTCAGTTTATCAGCTGCAGTGTACATTATTATTATTATTATTATTATACAGGGTTTATATAGCACCAACAGTTGTACATTACAATGGGAGACAGTACAGTAACAATACAATGCGATACACGAGGGGTTCGAGTGCCCTGCTCCATGGAGCTTACAATCTAGGAGGGAGAGGATGGTGGCACAGGAGGAAATAGCTGTGGGGGATGGAGTGGTAGGCAGAGTGGAGGAGATCGGCAATTAGCTGAGGGCGGGTAGGCTTCCCTGAAGAGATGGGTTTTCAGGGTGCGCCTAAAGGAGAGGAGAGTAGGTGATAATCTGATGGGTTGGGGCAGGGAGTTCCAGAGGATGGGGGAAGCCCTGGAGAAGTCCTGGAGACGGGAATGGGAGGAGGAGACCAGGGAACTAGAGAGTAGGAGGTCTTGTGAGGAGCGGAGAGTACGTTTTGGGTGGTATTTGGATATCAGGTCGGTGATGTAGTTTGGGGCAGTGTTATGAACAGCTTTGTACATCAGTGTTAGCGTTTTGAATTTTATCCGTTGGGCAATTGGAAGCCAGTGGAGGGATTGGCAGAGGGGGGTGGCGGAGATGGAGCGGTTAGTAAGGTGGATGAGTCTGGCCGCAATACATGAGCCCTTAGTACACGAAGCCACAGGTTTTCATCCTGCACTTTTATGACCTTCTAGCTGCCTGCATCCTAACAACGAATGACATCACCAGTTGATAAGGAGGACGTGGGGTGCCTTCACAGCATCCTTGTTTGCCCCTCTCCATCAGCACTGGAGTCACATTAGCAGACTTGGGGAGAGAAACAGAGAGACACATTGGAATACTAGTCAGTACCTGTGTGCAAAGGTGTATTTGCTTTGGAGGAATACATCACCTCTAATGTTGGGTCTACTGGATGTATGTAGAATAGTTTTTTACATTTTCCATGTGCCTGGAGATTGTGCAGAATTTGAAAGGGTGCCTTGAGATTATCGATAATTTTAAAGGGTGTATGACTGAAAAAAGGTTGAGAGACACTGCTCCAGACAAATGACTTTGCCAAGGCTGAGATGATGTTATCAATCTGCTGCAGGCAGGTGAAAGCATTGCCTCCATCTCCTCTGCCCAGTCATTAGACTGCAACATTGTTATTTTGCAGCAAGTCACGGTGAGAGGCTGCTGATGAGGCTGATCTGCGTCAGACATTTGTGAACAGAACCAACAACTGCATCAGGATTTACATGACTGTGTCATTTCTGAGCCAGCATCTCAGTGCAGGATGTAGATGCTAACCCTGGATGAGGAAGGAAAAATTGGTGAAGCAATATAGATGGCTCCATGGGGAGGAATACTATGATCTCTGAGAGAGGTAATGATCATCACTCATACATTTATACCCCGTAGGAGCCAGCAGTTATATAGGTCCCTTGGGTCTTTTCCCATATTCTGCCCTGCAGCCAGGCACACAAACACAATCACTCTTTGGCTCAGTGAACAGTCCAGGGGAGGGGCGGACTGACCATTTGGAAACTCAGGTCAGTAGGGGGCCCCATGAGATGCCCCTGGTACCTTTTTCATAGGCTTTTTTGAGTTTGGGCAATGACACAGGGGCCCCATGATCCCCTATTGCCCGGGGGCCCCATGAGTTGTCAGTCCGCCCCTGGTCCAGGAGTGTTTTTTTTTTAAATTCTTTGGGTAACTTGGATAGGGGTTAGGGGCGAGTGGGATGCTCCAAAAAAAGCCACATACAACTGAGAACACCGACTTTCTTCTTTTGCAGCACTTTGATTAGAGTCCTTTCATCAATACCGTTTTTTAATCGGTGAGTACCGATACTTGTGCTCAAGTACTCGCCGATAATGATCACAGATACTTTGTGCTGTGATCAGGGGCGGACTGATAACTCATGGGGCCCCCGGGCAATAGGGGATCATGGGGCCCCTGTGTCCTTGCCCAAACTCAAAAAAGCCTATAAAAAAGGTACCAGGGGCATCTCATGGGGTCCCCTACTGACCCCGGGCCCTCGGGCAGTGCCCGAGTTTCCAAACAGTCGGTCCGCTCCTGGCTGCGATTTGAGCCCATACAAAATGAATGAGCTCAAATTGCGCTGCAAAGAATTGAATGTGATTTGAACAGTTATGCGGTGTGATTCCTGTCCGAATCACATGCAGTTTTCCTGCTGGTGCAGTGCGATTTGAACCATACAAACTGAATGGCTCAAACCACACTACAAATTGCACTGCAACCCGCAGGGAAACCACATGCGATTCTGACAGGGATCCCACCACATTCCTGTTCAAATCACATGCAATTCTTTGCAGTACAATTTGAGTTCATTCATTTTATATGGGCTCAAATCGCTCTGCAAAGGTATCGGTTTCAGGTATTGAAGCATTTTCATGAGTACTCATGCAATTGCTTAGTATCAGCATCGTTACTGGTATCTGTTCAACGCAGGGGTGGACTGACCATTTGAAAACTCTGGCACTGCCCGAGGGCCCAGGGTCAGTAGGGGGCCCCATGAGATGCCCCTGGTACCTTTTTCATAGGCTTTTTTGAGTTTGGGCAAGGACACAGGGGCCCCAAGATCCCCTATTGCCCGGGAGCCCCATGAATTGTCAGTCCACCCCTGGTGTAACCCTAATGAGTAGTCATGAAAATGTTCCGATACCTTAAACCGATACTTTTGCAGAGTGATTCAAGCCTGTACAAAATGAATGAACTCAAATTGCACCGCAAAGGATTGCATGTGTTTTGAAAAGGAATGCGGTTTATTTTTTATGGCTCAAATCGCACCGCACCCACAGGGAAACCGCATGTGATTCGAACAGGAATGACAACGCATTCCTGTTCAAATCAGATGCAATTCTTTGCAGTGCTATTTGAGCCCATTCATTTTGTATGGGCTCAAATTGCAGCGCAAAGTATCTGTAATCATTATTGGCGAGAGCACAAGTATTGATACTCGTGGATAAAAAAACAGTACCGGTGCTACCCCAGTAGCCATGGACGGAGCTGTGTAAAAGGGCCCATAGCATACAATACTGCTGGGTTTGGATCCATATACAGTACATATGGTATTGTACGCCCATATTGCACACTGGAGTGCCTGACTCTTTAATCGGTAACTCTTTTCTTTAGGTGATTGTAGCTATATTAGTGCACTTGCAGCAAGAACAACTGAGTACTGTCCGTGATGATTTTTATATTTGCACTAACATCTACATTTTCAGGACAACCTTTTGGGGTATGTCCCCTTCTTCAAGATCCAAGCACTACTTTCACCTTGAAGAAGGGGCACGCCTCAAAAGCTTGTCCTGAAAATGTAGATGTTAGTCCAAATAAAAAAAATATCACGGACAGTACTCAATTGTTGTTATTAGTTATAATAATACAATAAATATGATATGAAAATAAAATTTAAAAAAAGATGTGTCTCGGGCCCTCATGTCCAGTGGGGTACCAAGCCGCTCACCTTTGGCAGGAGGTACCAAGCATCACTTTCACAACTGAAGACAGCCAAATGATATGAATACCATAGATGTATTCTTTCTCTGTTTGTCTCTGGTCCAGTGATTTAGAATATCACATTATTCTCAGCCGTAGTTGGAGCAGGATTATGAAATGGCAATAGAACAAAGGCAGATGGCTAATTATAAAATATAGGCAAATCCACATCTCCAAATTCAAGTTCCTGTCAGCAGAATGGCTTGCATTTTGGAGCTTACAGATAGCAATCCACAAAAAAACGATGCTAATGAAAACCAGTATATAAATGTTGTTTTGTATAGCTATATAGCTAGTTTGAAAAAAGTCCATCTAGTTCAACCAATGTAAAAAAAAATAAAAACTAGAAAACCTCCATATACAGAACTCTATACCCTCAAATGAAAACTCCAAAGGTCCAATTTTCTCAGCGGGAGAAAAAATCCTTCCTGATCCCTTGGCAAAAAAATGTTCAACCTTTATATTTTATATATATACACACACAGAGTTTGTTACGGCTGAATGGCAGTTGATGGAGAAATCACATGACTCATATCAAGTGTGTTTTTATGACAGATTTAGTGCTTTATCCATGCACCATGCTGTTTCTCAGTTCAGGCAATATAAGGAAAATATCAGAGGGTAGCAGTTTGAGAGTAACAGAACATGGTAACAGTGGAGCAGTAATTTAGGATGTAATGATGTACATATCTTGATATACTAAGTGAGCAATTTGTTTTTATGCACGCTGTGCACATACTGTGTATTGTCACGCATATGGTCTGCTGTGCAGATTTCATACAGTGGTTGTGTGGTTAGGTTGTTGTACATTACTAGATTCAATTATAGGAGGACTGTACTGAAAGTAATACATAAGTGGGCATAACCAGGGGCGGACTGACAACTCATGGGGCCCTTGGGCAATAGGGGAACATGGGGCCCCTGGGCAATAGGGGAACATGGGGCCCCTGTGTCCTTGCCCAAACTCAAAAAAGCCTATGAAAAAGGTACCAGGGGCATCTCATGGGGCCCCCTACTGACCCCGGGGCCCTTGGGCAGTGCCCGAGTTTCCAAATGGTCAGTCTGCCCCTGGGCATAACTCTTTTTTTAATTTACATAATTTGTTTGAATTTTCACATGTTGTTAGAGTAACACTTCTTCTATAGTTACTCTTCTTCTTTTTCATTGCAGGTAAATAACGGATTCCAAGCAGAAGCCGTCAATGAGTTCCTTATGAAGGAGGGTCAAAGGCTGTCCAACATCCACAGAAGGCTACAAAATGTTTACAGAGATTAAACCATTGACAAGAGTCACCAGTGACAAGACATTTCCCTTACATTAGTGGTCATTGGGAAGAATGCTCTTTATATACTGTAGGTGTTCAATGTAAAGAATGCCCCTTACGCTGGAGGTCAAAGACAAGAATGCTCCTTTTAATGGGAAGAATGTCCTTTCATTGGTGGTCCATGTGAAAAATTCCCCTTACATTGGTGGTCGAAGAGAAAAAGAATGCTCCTGACACTGGTGGTCAGAGACGAATGTCCCTTACACTGGTGGTTAGAAAAAAGAGTGCTCTTTACATAGGCAGTCAATGGAAAGAATACCATCCTTACAGACAGCTGTAATATTCACTGGTCTCATGCCACTGGCTCTGTTAAGCGGCAGTAGCCCTTGCACTATGCAGGTTGAAGTTCAATCTGACAGAAACCTTTAGCAAATTCCAAAGAAGCCCTTGGGTTCCAGGAACCATGCTTGCGAATTGCTGGTCTAAACCATGTATCAAAATGATCCAGAGATATAATCATATAATCAGCTGACTCTGTTAAGTGGCATTAGCCCTGGCGCAATCAGGTTGAAGAAACCCCTGAGTTCCACAGAACCCTGATTGAGAATTGCTGGTCTAAACCATGTATCCAAATGATCCAGAAATATAATCAACTTGCTCTGTTCAGTAGCATTAACCCTAGCACTATGCAGACACAATCAAGTTGAGGTTCAATCTGACACTTCTCAAGGAACCCTTAGCAAATTCAGAAGAAACCCTTGGGTTCCACAGAACCCTGGTTGAGAATAACTGGTCTAAACCATGTATCCAAATGATCCAGAAATATAATAAACTGGCTCTGTTAAGTAGCATTAACCCTAGCACTATGCGGGCACAATCAAATTGAGGTTCAATCTGACACTTCTCAAGGAACCCTTAGCAAATTCAGAAGAAACCCTTGGAACCCTGGTAGAGAATTGCTGGTCTAAACCATGTATCAAAATGATCCAGAGATATAATCAGCTGAATTTGTATACAGCACATATTTTGAACATTCATGTGAAAGTCTAGTGTAACCATTCCTCTCCTGAACCTTCAGCTTTCCTATTGGTCTGTAGGTTGCCATTTATGAAAAGACATATATGGAATCTAAGGAATCAATACTCATGAAACCAAAATACAAAATTTGTATATAACTTCAGCTGCCTATTAAGTATCTTTGGATCTATTGACTGCTTTGACTTGACTTTTACTGAAAGTGACTTCTGCGTATGTATTGTTTCATCATATGCCCAGATTGAATTTCTCTGGCTTGTGACAGCTTTACTTTAAAGTTAACCTATGGGAAAAACAATCAAGTAAACTTGAAGCTGTAAGAAATAGCTGACTCCATAATCCACTTTCCCAATATGTTACACGTGCATAGCCCAGAGCTCTGCTGAAGCACCTATGCAAATACCAACTTTCTTATAGCCTGTACTTGCATAACAATAACATCTTCATGTAACAATGCTCAAGCTTATGTAATTATAATTACCAGGGGGACAGCAAGGTGTCAACATGGTTAGAACTGGTTTCTTCTGAATTCCGCAGCTGCTCACAAACCTGCAATGTTCTTTTTTGCATAACCAATAAGTAGCAGGTAGAACATTTTTTGCACAGTACTCCTTAGCTAGCTTTCTGTTGGTTCACCTAGCAGATGGTGTTGACCTAGAATATATATATATATGGGTCAAATCGCTCTCAGAAATACACTTCGTACCTTCCTCTGCCTTTCATCCTTCCACTTTTCTCATATGATTACTTTTTTTAATTCAATGTCTTAAAATAAAACAGTGGTCAGGCTAAGGACATTCAAATATTTACATATTTTAAACAAGCAATAAATACATTTTAATGCAAACCCTTTACTAACCTATGTAGCTGCAGGCACTGTGAAGTCAGTGATCCTCAAAATAGCAGCAGAAGCTTCTCAGTTTTACTTTAATTTTCACCCTGTAGCTCAGCTCCCTTTCCCAGAAATGCCCGACTTTCAATATGAAATGTAAAGACAGGGTAGGTGCAGAGGAAGATGGAGAGAGAGCAAAATGCTGAGACCTGACTTGAACAACTTTACTGCTTTTATTGCAATGTTTGAGGATGAATTTCTGCACGGTACCTACAGCTACTGATGTCAGTGAAGGCTTTGTTTTAAGTTTATATACTGCTTGGTAAAAACTTGCAAATATTCGAATGACCACAGCTTTGCCAAAGTTCTACTAAAACATACAATAAAACACATACACATTTCCAAAGGCCAACTACTCTTCATAAAGGTTTTGTGCTGAATGAAATGGACTGTGTTGTGTACTTTTTGATCTCTCCCATTTTACACCTTGGGGAGTGCACAGGTGACCTGGGAGAAGCTGAATGAGGGAGCTGGAATACAGGTGTGAGCTGTGTGTTGAGGTGGTATAAGCACAGACTCGGGAGGTGTGACCTGGGTGGAAGATCCATCGTCTGAAACATTGCAAACTGCACAGCAAGGAGATGCTTGATGCTGGAAACCTGCAGGAAGGAGTAGAACTGGAGGTAGGAACTAAGCTGCATTTGTCCAGTATTTATAAGCTAGGTTAAAAACATCTAGGGATGTGCTCACACTTAAGTGTTGTGCCATGCCTGCGCACGTTTGACCCCAAAGTCAAGTTCGTTGAGTGTACCATACCCTGGCCCTCTTAGAAAAGGTGGTCTGGGGCACAGTTCAATTGTACTTGGGATGGTATGTTTGTGTATAATTGATAACAATGCCTCAGCACGGAACTCTAATGGATCACTGAGTACTAACAGAGGATAGAAATAAGGATCACTGTGGTCTGGCTGGCAGAGGTGATGCCATATGCGTGCTTGGGCCTGGCACAATGTGAACACAGGCCAGCAGGGGAGTAGGGACAATTGTACCAGGTCATGGTAAAAGCCGTGTCTAGTGTGAGTACATTAGAAGTGACCCTGCTGGAAGGTGTGTAATACTATGAACTACTACTTACTGAATTTCTGCTTCAAGGGCAGATACTGATGTCAGTAGTTCTATGAACTATAACACAGTGCCTAGTATATCAGCCCCAAATCTGAAAAATTAATAAAACATACTAAATCAACTCCTGCTAGCAGACTACAATAGAGGCAGTGAGGGTTTACCAGCAAGCGGAGGAGTGTTGATACACCATACAACAAGAACCCTGAACTTCACCTGGCACAAACATGCTAACAGATGAAACACCAGATTGATCAGAAAAAGAGATCCAGAAAATTCCATGCTACGTCTCCATTGTAAAAAGGCTAGATACTTTTAGCCAGGATTTATCTGATACAGATAAAGGGGTTGATTCTAATTCACATATAATGTTAATTAGTAAAACAACAATAAACAAGAAAAATGGAAAATAAGAAGGTATCTTAGTCAGAACTGAAAACAAAGCCTCAAAATGCACAAAGGGAGCATGGCCCATCAGCTGTGGGTTTCTGATTTTTATCTAAGGCCTCATGTGCCCTGTTGCTACTAAACGTGAGTTTAAGAGCTTTTGGTGTTTTTTTGCCAAAGTCCCTGAACTCAACTCAATAAAAGCCTATGGGGTTTATTTACTAAACCTTGTTGACTCAGAATCTTGTCCACTTCTGCATAAAAACCAATCAGCTTCCAGGTTTTATTGCTGAAGCTTAACTGAACATGCTGAGGTTAGAAGCTGATTGGCTACCATGCACAGGTGCCCAAGATTCTGAGTCAACCAGGTTTAGTAAATAAACCCCTATGTGTCCATGTACACATAAGCTTTTTACCAGGGCTTAGGAGCAACAGAGTTTAGAGGCAGTTAAACACTCCTCTCCTTAATGCAGAAGAATCATGTTCAGGAGAGGAACATTTTGGCCAAAAACGCTAAACATGGAAAAAAACGTGTGCAAATGCATCTAAGCGATAGCCGTGTTTACCACCTGGGCATTTATTCCAGGACTTCTCCAGGGTGTCACCCATCCTCTGGAACTCCCTGCCCCAACCCATCAGATTATCACCTACTCTCCTCTCCTTTAGGCGCACCCTGAAAACCCATCTCTTCAGGGAAGCCTACCCCGCCCCCTGCTAACTTGCCGACCTCCTCCACTCTTCCTACCACTCCATCCCCCACAGCTATCTCCTCCTGTGCCACCATCCCCTCCCTCCTAGATTGTAAGCTTGAAAGAGCAGGGCCTCGATCCCCTCATGTTTTGCATTGTATTGGTATTGTTCTGTCACATGTTCTGTCCCCTTTGTAATGTACAGCGCTGAGCGAACTATTGGCGCTTTATAAATACTGTATAATAATAATAATAATAATAATGTCAATGCAAAATACTCCAGCCAATAAAATGAATAAATGTCCAAGTGCAAAAAGCAGCTAAACATAGGTAGAGGCGGTACTATGTTTACACGCATGTTTCCGCAGTTAGCATTTTTCTGCTGCCAGGAAAGCTAAACGTCTAGTAGATTTCATGTGTACTTGAGGCCTTAAGATAGTTGTACTGCAGTGGTCTACCTCATTCCCTATTCTCAGTAATACGTTTCTTTAGTTTCTAAAACAGGAGAGGTATTCCCAAACACACACCCACTGTAGGCTGCTTACTGTCATTTACAGGAAGCCTTGTGTTGGTATAAAAAGTTCCTTATAGCCACAATAGGAAGCATGGCCCAACAGCTGTGGGCTTCTAATTTTTTATTTAGTGACATTTGTACTGCAACATTCTATCTCCATTCCCTATTCTTAGTAATATGTGATGTTGGAACCACTTTTGTATTCTCTGTAATGCAGGAGAGGTGTTCCCAAACACATCCAATGTAGGATACTTGCTGACTTTCACAGAAGGCCTTGTGTCCGTGCCAAAAGTTCCTCATAGCTACAATAAGAAGCATGGCCCACCA